AAACTCCACCAAAAAAAAAAAAAAATTGAAAAAAAAATACTAAATTTAAGTTAAATTGCAAAAAAAACCCCAGCTCAAAATCAAGAAAATCATACCAAATGGGACCAAAAATTGTGCACCTTCGGCCTAAGATGAGAGTCTCTAAGAGCTAAAGTCAACAGTTTTCGCAGAAAAAAAAAATGTTTATAAAAAAAAAATAAAAAAAAAATGTATGTCTAAATAATAATATGTGATAAGTGATAAGCCATGAGGAAGAAGGGATTTATTACTCAACACTATAGAATGGGTCCATTGTACTGTTACACAAGATAAAATGATCTACAGAAGCCAAAAATGAGTTTCATGCAAAAAATAAAAAAAAAAAAAAAAAAATAAAAAGTAGAAACACTGTTTTGCTACGGAGCCATATGATGGCTCGACTTATGGAATCATCTATAGTTATTAACAAATTATGTATTGACACGTGTCCTGTATTAAATATATATTGGACACGTGTCAGTTTATAAAATGGCTCTATAAGAGAGCTTATCTGATGGCTCCATAGGATTTCCGTATAAAAACATATAAGAAAGGGCTTCCACGTTTTCTCCTCTTCTTGTTTTGTAGCTCTTTTAATTACAATTTTGTTCTGTTATGATTGTAATTATATCCACACATAAAGAATCTCACTCTATTTATTCCTTTTTTTTAAAAAAAAAAAGAAAAAAATTAACTGACTTCAGTCCACCGTCGGTGTTCGGCCTTTTAGTACGGTTTTTATAGATTAGCATATTTTTTATTAAAAAAAATGTCAATCATTAAAAAAAAACAACATTAAAAATATTTGATAGTATAATATAATTTGGACAAATAGTATGATAAGTCGATGAGCGTAATCTAAGAATATGTGGCCGAAAGCATTGAGCTCACAATTAATTATCTTGTTGGGCTAGACCTTTAATTTATGGTCAAACAAATCTAAGTCATTAATTTAGATATTTGATGGACGTACCAGAACTGAAGTCATCCTTATGTAAATTAGTCATCTCTCTCTTCTATTAGGGTGCACATTTGTTATTCCATCACTTTTCTGTTACGTTAAGGAATTGGTCAAGAAGAAGAAATTGATATAGATCTAATAATCGATCGAAGCCCGTGTTATATCATCAAGATCGAGATCACAAATTATGTCGTAATTATGTCATTTTCCGCATCAATAAGGATTTCATGTACATTAAATTATTTATTCAAGATCCGTGATTATGCTTACACCTAACGGTTAAACTGCTTCACACAAAATTTGTGTTAACAAATCGAGTTTTTCATTGTTATACCTTACGTGCCCACATATACGTTTTTTTTTTTTTTTTTTGTACTTTGCCCACATATACATGAGTGTGTGTTGTCACCATTGTTTTAAATAGCTCGCTATGTAGCTCGTTATATAGCTTATATTTGGAAAAACGCGACGTCGTCTTTTATATTTAGCGTTTTTCTCGAAAAGTTTGCGTGAAATGTCAAAATAGCACGCTTCCTTACGCTATTTTGCGCTATTTCACGCTATTAAATTGCGCTAAATTTCTACAACGATATGTGAACTATAAAATAATCAAAAACTTCGTATTTTTTAGGGAACATAGTCATATTTACAAATGACAACAAAAAACTAAAAAATTTGATAATGAATTCAAATTAGAAGGTTGAAAATAGAAAGTCCTAAGTTGAATAGTTCAATATTTATATTGGTTCATTTTAGTTATATATTTGACATTTAAATAAAGAATAAAACATTCATATCTAATGGTTACAATTAAGTTGTAGTTAAACAAAAAGAAAAAATATTTAAAATGCATATACTTAAAATTATACTATGACTTATTTCATTATATTTTTGTTTTTTTGTTTTACTTTTTAGTATATTTAATTTTTTATTTAATATTTATATTATATGATATTTACATTAAATATTTGTGAAAAAATAACCTTAGATGTTATTTTTTAAGTCATTCAGTTACTATGATAATTTTCGTAATCAACCATCCAATTTCAATTTTATTATATGCAAATATATTTGTAATATTTCTATCAAAAAACATTATTACCCAAATAGCTTACGCAACACGCTATTTACGCTACACAATATAAAGACCAAAACGCACATTACTCGCCTTTTAAAACACTGGTTGTCACCCACATAATATATGCATTTACTGTCAATCAATGCCCAATAATGAAAGCAATAAAACGGAATTGAACAAGACCTACCCCAACAGTCCATATTAAAGACTGTGATCCCAAATGATAGTTACTTAATTAATTTACTAGTTATATATTATACTCCCTCCTATTCATTATAAATGTCGTTTTGACTTTTTTGATTCATCCATTTTATTATGTATCTAGACATATTAATGTCTAGATACTTAATAAAATAGATGAATCACAAAAGTCAAAACGACATTTATAATGAATAGAAGGTAGTAATAAAATCAACATAGTTATGAGTTGTGACATCTTCAATGTAATGTTGCTGAAAAAGACCAAAATATTTAGGTTCCATATTATGTTGAGTGCTCAAGAAATTGCCAGTTTTAGCTAAATTTGTACGTTGTGATGTTTCTTTCTGCCCAAATATGTTTAGTAGTTGAGGGAGAGGGACTTCACACTCTTAGTCTTATCACATCCTCGATGAAAATTGACACGTGTCATGCATTTAGAGGGTGATTGTACGTAAATAAAATCGGTTCTGATTGGATTTAGTGGTTGAAGTGAGTTAATAATGTTTAAAAAAATAATGATTAAAATCGATGTGTAAGGATGATTAATTCGTGTTATATAATTATATTGACAATATTGATAAGAATTGTGTTGGATTAAATTTGAGTTTGGGATCAAGTTAAAATGTGTAAATATATTATTCAGTCATTTAAAATCGGTTTTAATCTATTCGTCAGTCGCCCTGTAAGCAAGTAGTAAGTACACTTGTCGAGTACTCCAACTAGGCTTAACTTACGCTAATTTGATCTTATTGTCCGTATTTGAATTGGAGCCGTCAAATTAGACGCATACACGATATGGATATGTGTTGATTTGGTCAATCAATCGCGACACTGTTAATAGTGTATTTATTTTATTGTGACGCTAATAAACGTCATTAAACAAAAACATAAGCGTCGCAAAACGCTTTGTTTCTTGTAATTAAAGTGTAGTTTTGACAATCCTCAAATGACACATAATAACACCTATTGGAAAAAACACACAATTTTACTATAAAATTATCATATTGTGGGGAATACAAATTTTTACATAATTTTCTATAGTAAACTCGTTGAAAGCTTTGAATATGAGCTTGTTTATAATCGCATTTAGTTAACAATTATTTATTTTTTTAATCCAATAGTCACCTTACTAATTGATAGGAAGTGCATTAATAAAAGAATGACCAAATTGCACATATAAACATCAGAATAACACAGTTCACTCAACAGATCTACAAACAATAGAACTTAATTCCTAGTGATATACTTAGAAGAAAAAAACAAAAACAAAACAAAACAAAACAAAAAAAAGGAGAGAATTATACAAAAATACCATGTCTCATCATTCACTGCTTCCTCTCTTAAGCAAGTTCGGCAACCCCTCGCTACTCGAGCCAGACGGGTGGCGGCCAAAATCGCTCGTGAGGCCACTGTACTCACTCGTGTTGTTATCGAGGTTTTCTAAGGCCATCTTCCTGAATTTCATCAAATCCTCTTTGTAGTGCATTGTGTCGTAAGAGGCATCGTAATCCGAGCTCCCGTACGAGTCGTATACTCCACTGTGTCCAGGCTGGATGCCCTCTTTTAGTTCTTCCAGAGGTAATTTTCCTTCGAGGGCAAGGATTATCTGCATTTGAGGGGAAAAAGTTTGAGTTAACTTGAATTGCTCGAGTTGTGGTGCATTATTGTTCATGAATTGTTGGTAGAATTTTGAAGAACAAGGGAAATAATGGATATTTCAATACCTGACTCATTCGTGGTCTACGACGAGCCAAATGGCGCACACAGACAGAAGCACAAGCAACCATCCGAGCCATTTCTTCGGAGATATAATCATTCTGCAACTTTGGATCAGCCACACTATCGAAGTTGTTATTTTCAAGAGTCTGTGTTAGCAATGGCCTTGCCTGTATTGGCACAGTACAGAAACTAAGTTATTTTTCAAAATAATTATGAGTTCTTGAGTTTTTTAATAATGCTGAATGAAATATCATGGTTCTCACCCAATCAATGATATTATCATCTAGATAGTTCTGTGATTTGTCAATAGGTTTTCTTCCAGTGATTAACTCCAACAGAACAACACCGAATGAGAAGACATCTGACTTATCGGTCAGCTTTCCAGTGAGAGCATACTCCGGAGCTAAATAACTGTAGCAAGTAGGCAGGGCACAATTAGGTCATCACATTATAATTAAAATATCGTATTTGATCAATTTTAATAATGGCCTTCGGCAAATATCCATTTGAAGTAAGCAATTCAACTTTTAGCAGCAAAAGTGTCTAACACTGGGAAAATTAGAGAGTAGATTATCATCTTCTTACCCAAAAGTTCCCATTACCCGAGTGGATACATGAGTATCAGTTTCTGAATAGAGCCTAGCAAGCCCAAAATCAGCAACCTGGTTCGAAGTAATGAACAATGATTTGGAATAGCAAATATTTTAATTGATTCAAAGCGAGCATAAAAGTTGTATGAAAAATAGATAAATCTTGCCAAACTTGGCCAATTTAAGAATTTTAACATCATGCAAAAACAAAAACTGCTTTTTTCATAGATCAGAGGCTCGGATCTGAAACAGGATGGAATAAAACTCAACCAGATTTGATATTCACTCCTGATTATAGAAAATCGAGAACAAGGATAGGAACAGAAAAAACTATGAAATCTGCAAATAATGTACAGAAGTTTTCCAATTTCCACCAATTGACATCAACCATCCTTATGCAACAAGTATAACCACTTTAACCCTCATTTCCAGCAATTTGAAATATTCAGTAGCCCAAGTCGAACCAAATTAGCCTTTCTGCTCTCCTTCCTCCAAATATTTTGAAATCCAAAATCTGCTATGCACTTTTGCATCCACAAATGCAAATGTTCTGCACATTGCCATTAGCCACCAATTGAGTGTTTTAACATTCTTCTACTCGATGCAGTTGCACCACTCAATAAACTTATGTTGGGTTTCTACATACGTTTTTCAATGTTTGAAATTAGGAAGTACATGAGCTGCCCAGTAACAACTCTCTTTTCAATTGTCTGGTCCTTTTCTGCTATTTTTTCATGATTACATGCCTCAGAGCATACCCAAATAGGAATCACACATCATTGTTGTCCAACTAAAATTAATAGAAACCACGATACATAAATAAAAAATATCAAGCTGTAATGAACTGGAAATGCTAGAATCACACACGCACACACACACACACACACACACACACAGAGACAATATTCATGGGGACATCTACAGCATTCCGAAAAATTGATACGCACCTTTGCCTCAAAATTATCATCAAGAAGAATATTAGAAGACTTGATATCGCGATGTATTATCTTAGGTTGACCTGCACATGCCATTGAAATTTAATCTCGTTGAACTTTTAAAGAATAAAAGCACTGCCAAGAAGTCCATAACAAAGAGAGGCATGACTTACAGTCCTCGTGCAAATATGACAATCCTTTCGCGGAGCCCATGGCAATTTTCATCCTAGTAGCCCAGTTTACAGGAGGTCTCCCCTTACCTGCATTGTTTTACATTACACTCTTATTAAGACAATTTTAAGAGGAGAATGAACTTGTACAATATAAGAATAATTTACAAATTATATTAAAATAAACACAAGTAGATGTTTATAGATCAAAAAAGCTGTTCTTTGATAATGTTGGAAGCAGCTCTATTGGCTGATCATGAACTCAAAACAGTTTCATTTACCATGTCATCTTAGAAGCTCCAATGATACTAATCATAGCATGAACACAGCAAGCAAGATGCTGTAATAATTACACACAAGCCAGATAATGGGTGCCAATATCCATTATATTTTCCCATTTCGATCTACTGTTTTTATACAAATTCAGTTTCTGTAAGTCGGTTAAGAAAATAACAAAACCTCCCTAAACATGAATTTGCAGACATGGCTACATGCATTTAGCTTAAACTTCATTTTATCTCAACCAGCACAAATATTACCAAATCAATACCTGTTGTGGCTTACCATGTAAGTGAAACTCCAAGGTTCGATTGGAAACATATTCATATACTAATAATCTCTGAGTCCCTGAAATGCAGTGACCAACCAGAGATACTAAATGCTTGTGATTAACACGACTTATGGTCTCAACTTCTGCCTGAAATTCGCGTTCTCCTTGACCACTTCCGACCTTCAATTGCTTAATCGCGACCACTTTTCCATCAGAAAGAACTCCCTTATGAACATATCCAAAGCCACCTTGGCCAAGCAGGTTGGTGCCTGAGAAATTATCAGTCGCGAGTGCAAGTTCTTCGTATGTAAAGGTTGTTTTTGTACAAGCCACTCCAGTTTCAGGGTGAGAACTGGATGAAAGGCCCGATTGGGAAGCGGCCTTTGGCAATCCATGATGATCACTGGTTGATGAAGAGTTAGGCTGTTCGGGGTTGTGTGCGCCCCAGCGAGGATCGTCTATAAAAGCAAAATGTTATATCAAACTGAATGTACTAATAAACTTCCCATAAACACACCAAAGAGAAACAAGACAATGAAAAGTAGATCAGAAATAAACATATCCTGAAATAAATGAAACCCAGTAAGCCATATATCCCTTCGTAACATGTTTCTCTTTCACAATTTACATATTAAAACTGGGGTATTTGTGTCCCTAACTACCTATATAAACCTTAAGTTGGGGGAGAAAATGGAGATCTTTTAAATTAATCAAAATGATATGTACTTCTGCAACTGCCCCTTATATTTGAATCATCTTCATAGGAAGTGGAACACAATGCAATGTCAGCAAGTATGTTCACATATCCTAAGGATTTTTTCAACTAAGTCTACAAAACCTAAATGTTTGTCCAGTACAACGTCAGCTCAAATGCTAATATAGAGTACACAAGATAATAAGTAAAAAAATTATCTCAGATTTGTATGTTACTGGCGTCAGCTACTGAGAAAGCAAGTGGAAAATACTGAGAAAGAAAACGAAAATCGACTGAAAAAATATTTAAATAATGAATCATGCCGACTGCAATGAAGTTCAAATTTAACCTTTGGGACCCCGCGGCCGCCGGGGAGCATCAGCAAATCCGTCCATTTCGAGGCGCTTCCTCTTCCTCCTTCTGTAACAGATGACGAAGATGCCCACGCAAACCAGCACAATCGCCCCGCCTATCCCTATCCCCACCCCAAGCGCCAACAATGCCGCGCTGCCGCCCGATCTCGGGGAGGGCCCGCCGGACGCCGTCGGCGGAGTGCCGTTCTGGGGATTGGGTGGCGGAAACAGCAGGACCGTGGGAGACGGCGGACCGAGCGGCAGAAACGGCGGCGGAGGTGAGGTCGGGGACGGAAAATCAACCAGAGGCGGCGACGGCGGTGACGTCGGGGGCGAAGCTGCCACCAGCGGCGGCGGCGGCGGCGACGGCACAAGCGGCGTAGACATTGCCGGAGTTCAGCGTATTGGGTTTCTCACGCAGTGCTAACACAACGCTTATTCCTCCTCCTCCTCCTCCTCGTCGTCGATCTTGTGCTCCGACACGATGGCGGACAGCGCGCGTGGACGACGTCGTTTTAAGGTATTCTGTCGGCTTTTACGCGTGGTTTTTTGTTTTACTGTCGTCGAGTGTGTACGGAGTGTGTGCGAGACTGCGAGAGGTCCAAGGAGAATGTGCGACGTCGTTTCACGAGAACCTGTGATTGGTAAAGGCATTATTATGTTGTCTAAAGTAACCTTTCTTAGATATAATCATTTCATATTATTGAGCTAAAATATTCCTTTTTTTGGACCAAATTTCAACATAAATCGAAAAAACAAATTAAATTGTGAATTTTAGCTAGTTAATTATATAGTTTCCCGTATGTGTTAAAATCGGCTTGAGCATTATATGAATTATCAAATCCTCTCCAAGGTAAATGTTTGTTTTTTGTGTTTGTCAATCACCTGTCACCTTTAGGTAGGCAAAATTGAGTTGAAGTTGAAAATTAATCAAATCCAACCTTGTCACTCGGTACGATTTTTATCTTCAAATCTCCCTGCAGAACAGCTCACACCATTTTCTCGACCATGGGTTGGGCCGGATTGGGCATTTCTGTCCGGCCACAAGTTGGGACTCGCGACTGCAGCTTCCTCTGGCGAGTCTAGTTGCAATAACTATCTCGACTTTCGGTCTCTCACCTGTCTAGAAGCTTCTACTTGGGGGTTCATGTTTAGCTTGGATTTCGTTTTCTCATTAGTTTTGCTTAGCCATCAGAATTTTGGACTAGAGTTTTAGATATGGAGGCTTTAAATATGCGGTTTTTGTTTTGATTTTGAATTCGGGGACTAATTTGTCCTACGTAAAATTTTGGACTAGGGTTTTCAATATCATAAATTTTGTTGGTTTTATTTCTATTTTTTTTTTTATTTTTTTTTTTGTATCGACGTTTTTGTTTAGGTTGCGATATTTAATTTTTTAATGGTTTGTTATGTATGGTGGGTGTTTTTTTTAGTTAGTTAATTGTCTTTTTTTCCTATAAATTGTGTAAATTTCAATGAAGAGTTTGCATGATTGCATCACAAGTACTTATAGAGATTAGAGTTGATTTTTATTTTTATTTTTATTGGAAAATTTAACAAGTTTAATAGATATGTAAAAGATAGAGAGACAAAAAGGAGTTTCACTCATATTTTTTTAATATAATTTGTAACTATTGTACAAAAAAAAATATATATAATCTATAACTAAAAAAATCGTTTATAAAAGTACATAAACTTTATTGTTCACTTGTTTGTGTATTTACAAATATCAATTATTATTTTATTGTTTTCTTACCATAACACAACTAATATTATTTTTTTAAGTCAAATCTACACATTCTTATAAATATCTGTGTGATCAACAATTAAAAAAATAAAAAATAAACGTGAATAGTGTCCTCTTTGATTTGATAAGTTTGTCAACATTTATACGATGGCCACTTTATTTATTTAAAAAAAAAATGAAATGAAATTTCTCACCAATTGAAAGGTTACGCCAGCGCCAAAGGCGCCACACTGTCAAACCGAACACCGCAGCCCAGTCCTCAGTTACGCAACTCAAAGGACCGCCCAAGTTCTGTAAGAACCACTGCCGCAGATCTAGGGAGAAGAAAGCCGACCACGACTTGCGGGGGAGTAACTGCTCCCAGGTTTTTACAGCTTCCGGACAATCCCGCAACACATGTAGAGTCGATTCACACGCGGCCAGGCAGAGCGGACAGCGCGAATCCGATGACATGTGACGACGGAATCTCGTGGCATTGGTCAACAAACAATCCCGAGCTGCGAGCCACAAAAAGTGGCGTACCCGCTGTGGACCCGTCCACTTCCAAATAAGCTGCCATAGTCGATCCCCCCCACGTTGCCCAGGAACCAAGGCGAGAGCTGAGTACGCGGATTTTGTAGAAAAGTTGCCAGACGCTGAGAAGCCCCAAAATAAAGAGTCCTCATCCCCAGTCACAGGAGGTGGCTGGATCGCCGAGATTCGAAGCAAACATGTTGCTGGTAATAAATCTTGAAATAATGCCCAATTCCAGCTGCCATCTCGTTTCACAAATTCCGCCACCGTCGAATTTAGCAAAGATTCAGGGACAGGAGCCAAAGTGAACGTAATCAAAGGGGACTCACAGTTAGTCCACCGGTCCCACCAAAATCGAGCCAACCGACCATTTCCCAAAGCCCAACGGCACCCCAGCAACGTGTCCTGCCACACATCCCGAATTGAGCGCAACACCGTTGAGCCCGAGGGAAAGGAAAAGTCCGCACCCATCGCCAAAGGTTGCAACCTATATTTAGCCCGCAATACACGACACCATAATAGGCCTGGCTTCGTTAAAAAAGACCATGCAAGCTTCATTAAAAGAGCCCGATTCATGAGACGTTGATCTTTCATACCTAAACCGCCGTCCGTCTTAGGCTTGCAAACTTCGGACCAAGAGACCAGGCTAATCCGCCTGGAGGAAGATGTGCCACCCCAAATGAAGTTACGGCATTTTCGTTCAAGGCTATCACAAACCCCATAAGGTAAGGAGGTTGTCTGCATGGAGTAATACGGTATCGAACTCACAACAGCTTGAGCCAAAGTGACCCTACCCGCCATGGAAAGGGAGGTGGCCTTCCAACCAGCGAGGCGTCGTTCAGCTTTCTCCAAAATCTCAACATACGTGGATTTTGTAACCCGACTATGTATGAGGGGCATACCCAAGTACTTCCCCAAATTATCAACGGCCCGATACCCCAACTGTCGGCTTAAAGAGACACGTAAGTCCTCCACCACATTGGAAGAGAAGTAGACCGTCGTCTTGGGTTCGCTCACCCGAAGACCCGACGCCTCGCAGAAATTACTCAACACGCCTTGCAGGAGAGTGGCCTGATTCGGGCTTGCCTCAATAAATAAGAGCAAGTCATCCGCGAACATCAGATATGGAATCGAAACCTGCCCCCACCCCACCATCATAGGTTTCCATGTTCCACTGTTGACAGCAGCATCAATCATATGAACCAGTCGTTCAATGCACAATACAAACAGATAAGGTGAGATCGGGTCACCCTGTCGGATACCACGAGACGGCCGAAACTCCTCGCTGACAACACCATTCCATTGCAGCTGCATTGATGCCGACGTAACACAAGCCAGAACAGCCTCCACAAAAATACTCGGCAGCCCCACCAGCTCCAAAGTCTCACGAACAAATTCCTAACGTAGGTAATCGTAAGCTTCTCCAAATCCACCTTGATGACCATGAAGCCCCACCGCCCCCTCATACCACGCATGGAGTGGATGAGCTCTTGAGCCACAATAATATTATCCGTGATATGGCGGCCTGGGACGAAACTCGCTTGAGCGGGGTTAATTAGGGACGGAAGAATGGACTTCAAACGTTCTGCAAGCACTTTGGTCATTAGTTTATATACCACATTTAGAAGGCTAATGGGGCACAATTGTTTCAAGTACACTGGATCTGCCACTTTCGGGATAAGAACAATAAGGGTCCGGTTGAGGGAGGATGGAACACCCCGACCCCGCCAGATATCCGACAACTGGGAACAGACTGAAGGTCCCACGTGGTGCCACTGTTTCTGGAAGAACATCGCATGCAGACCATCTATTCCGGGAGCTTTGAGGGGTGCCATTTTCTGTAAAGCCGCCCACACCTCCAAACTCGTAAGATCACGGCCCAACAGCTGCATTTGACTCTCCTCCACAGGCGGAAACGCGTCCCGGATGCAAAAGACGGGCGGCCCGGTGGATGGGGCCGTGTAAATGGCTCGAAAGAAGTCCACAGCCATTTGTTGGAGAACAACTGGATCCTCAATAAGATTCCCTGCTTCATCTTTGAGGACTAAAATTTTACTTTTTCGACGTCTATGCTTGAGGGTGCGATGATAGTACGAGGTATTCCTGTCGCCGAAAAGAACCCAATCCCGTCGAGTCTTTTGTAGCAGAAGCAACTCCTCTTGCAAAAGAGTCTGATCAAGCTCGACAGTTAGTCGGTGCTCCAACTTCCGGAGAAAAGGGTTACCGCCACCATTGCTAGAGCGTTGGATCCCCCTAATTCGAGCCATGAGGTGCCTTTTCCGACGGAAGATGTTGCCAAAGGTCTGAACATTCCATAGGCGAGCCGAAGAAGAGAACTCCCCCACTGATTGTTCATAGGACCCACCCTTGGTCCAGGCCTGCTTCACAACATCATCGAACTCCGCATGAGTTAGCCAAGCAGTAAGGAACCGAAAAGGCTTGACCCCCGGCAAACGCACAGCCTTAGCCATGGGCACTAAGAGAGGGGTATGATCTGAGTGTAGACGAGGAAGGTGGAGGACCATGCTATCCGGAAACAAATCAGTCCACGCCTCATTCCCGATCCACCGGTCCAACTTTTCTGCTAAACCCGGCCGGAACCATGTTGGTTGGTCTCCATCCGTCCGAATTTCATGCAAATCATTGTCAAAAAGCCAATCAGCGAAAGCCGAGCTGACATTACAATTATTAACCGAACCCCCATGCTTCTCAGAGACACGTAGGAAACAGTTAAAATCGCCCCCCACAATCCAAGGGCCTGAAATTTGTTGTGCAAGGCCTTTGTAGGAGATTGAAGGATGGATGACTGGTAACCAATCCATACTCATGTATGAAAATCGAATTTTTAGAAGAGTAGTAATAAAAAAATAGTGTTACTAAATACTGCTTCTTTATTACTATTTATTGCCCCAGTTTACCTTTTTTAATTTTAAAATATATTTTTTCGTAGGTCAGCTGGCCGCGAACCGTGCCGGCCTTCTTTCCCGGTTGGTCCTTCTTTCCCGGTTGGTCGCACCGTGCGACCTTTTTTCCCGGTAGGCCGCATCGTGCACGGTCTTTTTTCCCGGTTGGCCGCACCATGCACGGCCGGTTTTGCCAGCCGGCCGGCCTGATTTTTTTTTTTTTT